TAGGTCCTGATCTTCAACCATGTTAGATGAGGTTGAGCATTTCTGGAAAGAGTAGAAACGTCACTGTCCAAATCGGGGGAGATGACAGTAGTAGACATGCCATGAGTGCCTGTGTCTTCAAAGATGAAGCGGTTGATTTGGAGATGATTCCATAGTCGCAAGGTTAATGTAAATGTCCAGTAAGACTAGTCTGGGAGGGAGTGTGATCTTGGAAAAGCTTGCCGATGGAACTGCGAATCCGGTGAACTGATCCACAGCCGAAGTCATCTGCTGTTACTGCAATTCATTCGCAATTCAGGGTCCGCAGGTTCAAAATTCCCGACTGAGAAGGGCAGGATGAGGGATCGCCTGACAGGCGAGAGGTGTCAGTTGGTTGACCCTGGATACCAGGATCGCCAAATGTAGAGCCTGAACCACCCGATCCGGGAGTTGGGGCGGGTTTCGAGCAGGAGGCAACTGAAACGGGAACTGGATCAGTAGGTTGAAGAGTCGATGAAGGATCTGAATGATGAATGTTTATGAAGTCTGTTGTTGATCCCCGTGATACGAACTTGTGGGTAGGATAGATGGACAACCTAGGATTTGCGCCAAACGAGAACAGCTCAAAGAATGACTTCGACGATCGCATTCTTTATAGGATGATGAACGCTGATCCTATGAACTGTGAGGTGGGTAGGCGTAGCCGGCAGAAGAGCTGTAGTCAGGAAACCATGAGTAAGGGTATCTGGGATGTTGGTTATAAGAATCATGGTAGATCGGGTAGGCATCAACCACCAGATAGGTCCCGTGAGGATAACCACTATGGTGATACTCAACGATGGATGGCTAATCTCTGCCGTAGAGAGAACTGTCTGACGAATGGTCAGTTGAAGACGATCAGGAGCGAGAATGATGATGATCAGGGTGCGAGTGTTAGATATCAGCCAAGGAGCGAGCACGGTAACTCGATCAAGAATGCCGATCCTGGGAGCAAGATCTCTGTGCTGGCGGGAATGTTAATCCTGCCAGCGGGAATGCCGATCTGTGTAACGAGAGCGCTGATCGTGGGAGTGGAAGTGCCGATCTGTCGTCATCGCGGGTGAACGTCGCAATGAAGTGTGACAATCTAAAAAGTCCAAGAGGTAGTAATACCCACAGCCATATCTCTAGCAGCCGGGGGAGCAGAACGAGCCCAATCCAAGAGCAGGATTTTAAATGGACTGGAGCAATCGGTCGCTGGTATAACGAGAGCGGGACCTGGGTTGGTCGGACAGGCTGAGCGCACATCGACCTGTGTATCTTCTTGTGGAGTGGTAGACAGGTCACAAGACAATCGGCGTGGAATAGATATGTCTGCATTGTTTACAAGCAGGATGTTGATTGTCCTTTTTTCCCATATTATTTAGAGTACAGTCATGTCCCGTTGATCCAACATTGTTGGTTGCATATGATTATGTCGGATTAACGAGTATGTCGGATAAAGGAAATTAGGTAGTATCAACGATTCGTGATCGAAATTTGGACAACTACATGATAGCTAACGATTCAAACATGTTGTAATAAAAAAAAAGAGGAAAAAGGCAATATTCATATTGCTATGTTACATTGTTAGCGGAATATGTTTTCTAATCATGCAACCTCTAAAGTTAAACACAAAGTATGACTGATTCAAAATACTTTTTAAAGCATAGTCTGGAATGGAAGCCGACAATTTGAAACTAGTGCCGCAATGCTTAAGAAAGCTGCTTTCTTAGTGGCTTATGTTGATTTCCAGTTAGTAATTTCATTGGTCGGTCACAGTTGGCAAAAGGTTTTCTGACATGACTTGTAATGGGATGTCCTCAGCAGTAGCGAGAACTTGTATCCGATTTTATGAGATTGATGTAATCTAGGCATGTGATTTATCCTGTTTTGCTTATTTAAAGCAGTGCAAGACTGTCGGATTAACTGGTCTAAATAGCACTGATTTAATCGGTTCCCATCATTAGTGTCGGATCAAACCAATTGTCGGATTAATGAGTGTCAGATTAACGAGACTTGACTGTACTTGACAACTTGGGGACGGACAAACAATATTCTCTGATATTCAAACATGTCGCCACATGGTGGCGATGAGAAAGAGAAGGAATTGGTAGAGGCGCACACATGGTCAGTTGAAGCAGACACAGCGTGCAATGGAGGCACGTGACTGACCTAGCTTTTGGACATAACCATGGAGATTAGAGGTGTAACGATACGGGAGGGTCGCGATACGATACGTATCACGATACAGTATTTACTGGTGCAAGCTAAGCCAAGTTGATGTCTTTCTGCTCTCTAAAAGATGTGACAAGTACAGTTGAAGAAGATATAAGGTGTTTATTTACTGTTATAGCAAATTGTCAGCAATACAGTATGTTTTACTGAAACAACAAACTGGCTTTGAAATTGTTAAAAGTATTTCATGTTTAAAAGTACCGTATTTTCTTGAGTATAGTGCGCACCCATGTATAATGCGCACCCCCTCTAGCGGGTTCAATATTTTGGAGAAAAAAGAAATTTGAATATTATGAGCAGAAAAGAATTACACCGTACCCCTTCAGCGAAGTCCGGCAAACGAACGGGTGATGTGAAACTTTGTCAGTACAAATTCAAAATTTGAGATAAAAAATCACCAGACATGTTGATTTACCGTTTAAATTGTATATTTTGTTCAGCTAGGCATTGTTTTATATCCAGGGATTAAGATTATCTTTTGTATTTTCTTGTAAACTAAGCCGATCACAGCAATCAGCTGTACACACGTTTTCTTGGAATCTACCGGTGATTCGGTCAAGACACACCCAATGATATAACTTTACAGGATTTTAATGAAAGGATCGGCAAAAGTTGTATCTGAAACTATTTTTTATCAGGAATAATATATTCCAATATCTTGTTAATTTAGATGCAGCTTTTACTAAACATATTTAAAATAATAATAACCCTAAGCGAAGCAGCTGATCGCTATTGCCGGGTATTATTTTTTACATGGAACCAGTCTGACCAGTCACCGTCAAGGCACCCGTGCAAGTGATTGCGTGATCGCGAGAATTACGTGTTGACATAGAATCGTCCAACAAAAACAAACATGACTTTTAACCAATCAAAGTATGGCATTTATGATATATGTATCCATTCTCTGTCAACTAAAGTTCGTTTCAAGGCGTCAATAGCGGTAATCTGACCGTGGTTTCTGTTAATAACGGTTAGTTGTGCGATCTTCCGATCGCTTCACACACGATTTCGCTGAAATTAATTAAAGCAATATTAAAAGGAATTTTGAATAAAATTAATGAAATAAGTTACAAACATAAGTCCAGATATACAAAGAACACTTTTTATAGCCAGACAGTGTAATTACATGAATAATTTGAGAACCTCAGTATTGATTTGTTGACATGGTATTTCCGGTGTTACGTGCACGGTAATGTCTTTTCATGGGGGAAAAACATCAAAACTCATTAAGTAAAACTGTGTTATGAAAATATCGTATGTATCGCGATACTTGCTTTCCAAATCGATGCATCATATCCTGAGCTGTGCATCGGGATACAATACTGTATCGCCGTATCGTTACACCACTAATGGAGATACAGGGGGGCTTGGGTGGCCTTTTTATTATCAAGGGCTGGAAACATGATTCAAGCACGTTCCCACATAGAATCGAAGAAGAAGGGAGAAATGCAAAGTGTGAGATAGGTTAAGTTTAAAAATTACAAACATTCATTACCCTGCCCACAGATGTATAATAAGCTATTGACTGTTCTGTGCCCTGCCTGACATGAGTGGCTGGAAGTAAAGCGCATACAATTTGACAGCTTAGATAATACAGAACAAAGTATGTATAACCTTCCTATTCAAAATCTTTTTGATACAGGACAGGTACCAAAATATTCTAAGCAAAATTCATCGTTCACACAAATCACTTTTTGCCAGCTGTGACTTCATATCGATTAGTTGTCACACACAATGTCAAAATGAAAGGCGGAAGCTTGGGATTGTATCGGTCTTCGGCAACCCATACTTGCCACAAAAGGCGACTAACAGGATCGGGTGGTCAGACTCGCTGACTCGGATGATGCATGTCATCATATCCCAATTGCAACACTAGATTTTCTTGCCCAGACTTGATTATTTCCATATTGCTGGAATATTGCTGAGTGTGTCTTTAAAAAACAAACAAACAAACATAGGAACCCCATCGAATCATACATAACAGCTATGACAACTGTGAGACAGACCCTGCTGGTTTCAACAGAAAAGTCTCACATAGATACTGTAATACAGTGTCCCAAATGATCAAATGACTAGGCTTATCGTGCAGCAAGTTTTAACAAGAATGATTCAACGGTGTGGGAGTTCCGCTCCAGGAACTGAAAACGGACGGAGGGATCGACGGACTTGCTGACCAATTTATCCACACGTTATCAAAGGTTGGTGATAAAAAGTGGTGATTAAGCAGGTCTGCCATCACCATGATCACCAGATGTTGCAAGATTAAATAGCGAGTGTGACAAACACAGAACTATGTAATAATAAGTTACTGAGCTGTTCATCAGTTCTTGTAAATAAATTTGTATCATGAGCTCACTGCTTCAATACAAGTCCCAGCTGTATTCCACGATTCAACGGTTATGGAAAAGTTTTCAGAAATGTACATATCTTGCAGAAAATCACATTTTGTGAGAACAGATGCGGAATTTTGCATATATCTGTTAAAAGCTGGTTCTAAACGTGTAAGCGGACATTCATTTTGTTTTAAAGTTAAGATGACTTTTGTATCATTGCCTATCGAAAATGAATGTCTGTATGTTTACACCAGTGATCTCCAGATTCACTTCAATAAGCTATTCTAACTATGGATAAGTTTGTCATAAAAATGCCTGCTGCAAGTCAAACAGGTGTTAAACTACGTAATTCACAAAAACTAAGTTTAATGTTTGGCCATGGAATACAGCGTGGGAATGCAATCCAAGCTACTATCAGTATAATCATCTCACCTGACAGCCTCATGGAGTCCATCCTCTGTCATCTGCCCAACCTCATCGTCCGGAATTGGCACCACTGGAGTCACCCTGGTGACAGGCTGTGTGTACTGCTGAGACAGGGTTTGAAGTTGGGCCAGAATGGGGTCAGGTGGTGGCAGGGAGGCAAGAAATTGAGCATGGGCAGCATCTGATGTATTCATACTGATGAACAGACAAACAAGGAAAAACATTATTAAATTTTTTTCATTTCTGCTGAGACTAGGGTAGAGGAACATTGTTATTGGGATTCAACTTCATTTTCAACTCTATAGATGGCACATGCATTATAGACAAGAGTCATCAGGAGATTCATATCCACCCTGGCTGGTGCAATTTGGAAATGGAGTTTGGTTACCCAACTTTTGGTTTATTGGCATTGGATACAGTCCGTTCAGTGAAGAAAAAATAATGCTGTTCAGTATTTTCCAACATCCCAAATCATCAAAAGGCACCTGTTCACCACTCAACTGATCTGTTTAACAAGTTTCAACAAGAAACATTTAACGGTTTGGGAATTCTGTTTGAAGTAATAGCAACTGGTCGAGTTACAATTGAGCTTTTTGTTCAGCCTAGTTCGGCAAAGGTTGGAAACTGGACTTTCATAGTCAGTTAACTCCATGGCCTCGGGAAGATGAGATGGAAGGACAGACAGACATGCTTACCACTCAATCTTCACTGACCTATCACCAATAATCATCTTGAGGCAAGGGAGTTCACTGACAATAAAAGTCCAGTTTCAACCCTAGCCGAATCAGGCGAGAATTATAGCGTTATATTTTAGCTGGTTTAACAAGTCTATGCATAGTCCAATCAAAATCACGTAACAAATTTGACAACCAGTTCATATACAACATGGCAAATGCATGCAGATTTCTGTTATTGTAGGATTTGCAGAGCATATTATACCGTCAACCGGGTGTTGACAAGTATATCTTCCAAATCTTTTCAAGTTTTTTTAATCAAGGTGATCAAGTGCTTTGATGCACTTCACGAGGTAAAACCTGTTTCATTACAATACATATCTTGACTGGGTGCCGCCTTTTTGTTTGAAGCAAACACAAGTGATATGAGAGTGGTAACTAGTAATAGAAACGGGTTTCAGTTATATCTATTGTATGTCATGATATTGTATGTACTGGATAAAAAGGTTGTCCTTCCAATCCCATTGGTACCCCAGAATTTGTCATAATACTTTTATTAAAAGGTTGTTTTCACTTGAAAATGCCAGATTTGTTGGGTTAAATCAGGGTGTTGGAAGCCTGCAACTATTTGTAGTTTCATTTGCTCAACGATTGAAAGATGTATTACCTCAAAATTGGCACGGGAAAAGTAAAATTATGTATTTTTTAGGGTAAAAACATACTCACTGCCAAAAGAAATGTGTACCATAGAAACATATAGAGAAGTATGTATGTTAAGAAGAGATGTTTCCAATGTGTACCAATCAATGACACCAACTGTTACCACAAAGTGTCTTTATTCTTATCACGATATGCTGCATGTGATTTCCAAAATTTACACATTATTCCTGCATGAGATAAATGATGCATCTCGAGTCATGGATCTATGGCGTGCATCGGTTCACACAACAAACCAGTGTGCTCGCTTGTGCATCGAACCCATCTAATTATAATATGTCTTGAAAATGAGCAGTCTTCATACTTAAACCAACACTTTTGGCAATCGCTTTTGGTAATTTTGGCGGCGAGTATATTATTTATTCTTATCCTGACACATACTTATTGCTTATCTCTATTCATTTCCGAAAGGTAGTAGAAACTTCCAGAACTGTGTTCCCTGAGATCAGGGGAAACAGGGGAAGAGGGAACGGCTGGGACGGTTCTCTGGCATATGAATCAGAATAAGCATAAATGATATTTTTACCCTAAAAAAGACATATTTTAGACTCAAGACTCAAACTATTTGCTTGAATAGCAAGGTTGGTAGTGGGTTCCACCTGTCCCTGGTTCAGATTGAGATTTGTTCATTCACCCTTGATATTCTTCTTTATTTATTCTGTATATCAAAAAAACAATAGTTATCGTTGTGTATAATTCTAAGAATATTACCTCTATTACATCATAGCCACAAATTCCCATTTTGGCAATAATCACACTATAAAATCTTTAGATTTTTCGACAGACATCCTTTTCACTGCCAATTATCCCACAGTCTTGAGGTAAACCCTATCCCTTGTCAAACTGCATCTGCGCATGCGCAAGGCGGGAAAACATCACTTCTTTCCAATAACCTTCATCGACTAGATGTAAGATATATTGGGGAGGTGGGAGGGACCTTTTCCTGATGTAATAGAGGTAGTATTCTTTGAATTATACACAATGATAACTATTGTTTGATAATTCCTACGAATATACTTCCTCTATTTCAGAATTGACCTTCACTTTGTGAGTTTATTGGAGTATGAACCTTCATAAAGTGAGGTCCAAACTGTATGAACGTCGGAGCTTGCTTGAGTGAAAGTCAATTCTTATAATTTTTTTATCACAATTTCTTACCTCAAAGGATGTAGGCCAAGATCTAAACACAATTTTATTTAGTACGTGTGACTTCATGTTTACACTGACAGCCATACAACAACCAGCTATATCACGGAATAAAATAGTTCCTCAAAAAGAGAGTTGACATGAGCATATGGATGCATAACTTGCTCTTCAGAAACATCTTACACAACACATGTGTTCAAATCATATTACCATTAGATGAGAAAGGTCTGTAAAGAACTACCTCAGTAAGTCAGTCCCAATGACAGCGGGTCGTAATACATTTACATCCAGTACAAGACGTCAAAATGGCCGACACGATAAACGTGATGGGAGAGATTTCCGAAGTTGTTAATGAACCTGTGGCGGTTACATGTGTTCCTCATCATTGATCAACTGGCCGATCATTGAAAGGTGATTAAAGATGCATCAAACAGACACTAAGGTAAATTCATAGATTGCTGGGGATGGTCACTGTCAGCCCAGACACGGATCGAGTCGATACTACGATAGTTTGGATGTGCATTTCTTTCTTTGTTCATTAGGATGGGCCGTAGCGAGGATATTCGTGAACAATCATGCAGTCAAGTTCTCTGACTTTTCTCAATGCATACTGAAACGCTGAGACCAAGATTAAAGGTTCTAAATGATCAGAAAGAACGCTTATGTATGTTTTCGTGCTAGGGAATTCCCAGGGTCTTTCCCCAGGAATGTGGAAGTAGTCCGTCAGTGTTTACGTCATTTCAAGAACACGGTCTCGTGAAAAACGTATGAACGTCAAATTGTGTCGTTCATACACTTATGAACGTCAATATCGCGATCATGTGACCGACCTCTCGTCAAATGGAAAAGCTGTATATCGTGTAAACGTCAAATTAAACAATTATTATATCATAGCCAGTATTTACCAGAGGGACAGGTGGGATCTGTCATCTAGTACTCCCGGATAATTGGCAGCATTGAAGTAAGGGAAAAACATAGGCACAACGGGGTATGAACCAATGCCAGACTTCCTGATTTCACCCTTGGCAAACCTGCAGAAGACTTGGCACTTGTGGCATCCTTCCCGTTTTATGATCTCATAATTGTTACCTGTTTTTGATGGAATATGACCTCATTTTTTATGTTTTTCTCTCCGGTTTAATGACCTTTCTGACGTCACTTCCGGTTCTGAGAACATCTATGACGACACTTTTGGTTCAATCTCCTGTGCCATCATTTGGATCATTATGACGTCACTTCCAGTTCTGAGGTCATCTATGACGTCATTTGCAGTTCATCTGTCATTGTGACATACATATATACTTGTTGCTCTATAGCCAACAAGCAGATATACCTATCTCACCTCAGGTATGATAATGACGTACTTTTACGCTGATGACATGTTTCCCTTTATATATTGGTGATAAAAACGTACCCTTTACGTAATTCCGGTTCTGAAGTCTTCCCCGATGACACATCAGGTAGTTATACATGTTATGCCGAGCAATGTTATAACAATGTAATAACCCTATCACCTTATGATCTATGATCCAAGATTTTACTCAATGATCCATCCAACCTAGTGTTGACATAGCGTAAAGGCCAACTTACCATACCCCGGGGAGTATAGTCCCTCTAGATCGTGTTGTATGTCTCGTAGATAGAAATGAGTTAACGTATTGTGGGATCTCCATTGACAGCTTGATACTTGTTAGATGGAAACTGAATTCCATGAGGCCAGACTTGTTACTAGTGCACGGATTTCATGAGCCTTGCAACTTCCATATATTGGTGTAGAGAGCTGGGCTTGACGATAACTATCAGATATAGTGTTCTTAAGCCACCCGGCCACAGTAGCCTTAGTAATGTCCTTTCTGAGGAAGGCTTGCAAGAGATAAAGAGCCATTTCATTTCCTGTGGTTCTGAGTAGCTGAAATGTAGTATCTCAGAGCTCTGATTGGGCATAATAGTCTATCTGGATGATCAACTGTTTTACCAAACGCTGATGCCTGGTTTTTGGCGATAAATTCTGGTAGTGATCTGAAAGACATTTTGCTCCAGTCTTGTGAATGCGTAATAGATGCGATATCAATTGCGTGAAGCTCAGACACTCTAGCAGCAGTAGCTAACGCTAAGAGGAAGGCAGTCTTTTTGGAAACTGTTAAAAGTGTAGCCTCTGCCATTGGTTCATATGGAGCTTCCATCAGTGCAGACAGAACGATGGATAAATTCCATTTAGGGAAAATGCGTGGGATTTTTATGTCTTCCAGTGAAAACGATTTCATGAGTCGATACTGGGTGAGATCCTATGGATAAACCATCATGTTGTAGAACTGAGGCTAATACTGATCTAAAGCCTTCAATTGTACCATGTCTGAACCCTTTCTCATTTCTCAGGTGAAGAAGAAAATCAGCCACTATAGGTATTGTTATATTTTCGTCACGCAACCCTCTTTCTATTCGCCACTGGCAGAACTTTCTCCATCTGACATTATAGATAGCTGAGGAAGCTGGTCTCCATGAGCTAGCAACCGCGTCTGAAGCTGATTTAGAAAAACCGGAAACTTGCATCTTTGTCGCGATAGTTTCTAGGCGTGAAGGTGGAGATTTGTCAAGTTGCCGTAAAATATGTCCGATCTTGGTTGGCAGAGGAGATCGTGACATTCTGGCAGTTTGAGA